CTGGTGATGCTGTGACTGGTGATGCTGTGACTGGTGAGGTTGTGACTCGTGGCTGTTCCCAGGCGGCGCTGGCGGATCTGGGACCACCGTGGGGTTGGATCAGGGGTTGGACTGGGTGACCTGGGAGGTCTTTTCCCGCTGATTCTGGGACCCTGTGACAAGGGGAGTGTCAGGGCACCTTTCCCCTCTGCTGATGCTGTGACTGCTGAGGCTGTGACTGGTGATGCTGTGACTGGTGAGGCTGTGACTGGTGAGGTTGTGACTGGTGATGCTGTGACTGGTGAGGCTGTGACTGGTGATGCTGTGACTGGTGAGGCTGTGACTGGTGAGGCTGTGACTGGTGAGGTTGTGACTGGTGAGGTTGTGACTGGTGATGCTGTGACTGGTGATGCTGTGACTGCTGAGGCTGTGACTGGTGATGCTGTGACTGGTGATGCTGTGACTGGTGAGGTTGTGACTCGTGGCTGTTCCCAGGCGGCGCTGGCGGATCTGGGACCACCGTGGGGTTGGATCAGGGGTTGGACTGGGTGACCTGGGAGGTCTTTTCCCGCTGATTCTGGGACCCTGTGACAAGGGGAGTGTCAGGGCACCTTTCCCCACCGCTCAGGCTGTGCCTCCGTGTCCCCGGCAGGCGGCTCTGGCGGAGCTGAGCGCGGCGATGCGCGGCCGCGCCGAGTCGTGGCCGGGGAAGCCGGCGGCGGTGCGGGAGCGCCTGGCGGCCCTGGCCGGCTGCGCCCCCTTCGACGTGCGCTTCCGCAAGGACCACGCCCTGGTGGGCCGCGTGTTCGCCTTCGACGCCTCGCCCTCGGGGCCGCCCGGCGTGGAGGAGTTCGAGCTGAAGCTCTTCGCCGAGTACCCGCGGGGCTCGGGCAGCGTCTACGCCGGGGCGCTGGGGCTGGCGAGGAGGATGTGGCGGGACTGCCCGCGCCAGCCGGGCAAGGCCATCTCCTCGGGGTACAAGTACCTGGAGTACGAGAAGCGCCAGGGCAGCGGCGAGTGGCGCCTGCTGGGGGAACTCTTCACCGAGGCCGTGCGCTTCTTCCGGCACCCGCCGGCGCCCGAGGCGCTGCCGCAGCAGCACCACCAGCACCACCAGCACCAACAGCACCAACAGCAGCGGGTGCCACCACCCCAGCACCAGCAGCAGCAGCACCCAGCGGTGCCGCGGCGTCGCCGAAAGGCCTCCCCGGAGCCGCCCGAGGAGGAGCCGCCGGCACAGCGACAGCAGCAGCAGCAGCAGCAGCAGCAGCAGCAGCAGCAGCAGCAGCAGCCCCCCGAGGGCACCGCGGTGGGCACGGCAGGGCTGGCAGGGGGCCTGAGCTGCGGGCTGTGCCGGCGGCGCCTGGAGGACACGCACTTCGTGCAGTGCCCGGCCGTGCCCGCCCACCGCTTCTGCTTCCCCTGCGCCCGCCGCGCCATCCGCGCCCGCGGCGCCGGCGCCGACGTGCACTGCCCCAGCGGGGGAAGGTGCCCCCTGGCAGGGTCGGGGCTGCCCTGGGCGTTCATGCAGGGGGAGATCGCGGCCATCCTGGCCGGGGATGTGAGGGTCAAGAGGGAGAGGGACCCCTGAGGGGCACCCAAGGGACCCCCTGCCCCAATGTGCCCACCCCTGCCCCGGTGTGACCACCCCTGTCCTGGCTGGGGACGTGAGGGTCAAGAGGGAGAGGGATCCCTGAGTGACCCCTGTCCTGGTGTGACCACCCCTGTCCTGGCCGGGGATGTGAGGGTCAAGAGGGAGAGGGACCCCCAAGTGACCCCTGAGGGACCCCAAGTGACCCCTGAAGGACCCCCTGCCCACCCCTGTCCC